ACTTTTAGTTTATTTTAGTTTATAAATGCAGCTGCATATTTGTTAACTTACTTGGTTTTTATCTCAGGAACTATACGTAGACAAAGCAGCATGACGGATGTCAAATTAAGGTGGGAGAATCACAGACCTTGGTGTATTCTTGAAAAAAAAAACTAGGCTTTAGTGAGCTTATTACAGAAACTACAATGCATTTACTGTTTCTTGTATGCACTTCTCTATGCTTTCCCAGGAGCTCTGAAAGTATGACCAACTTACCAAAGCTCAGAAGAAATGCATCTACTTCCTCTGATATGAGTAGCATGGCTTCGCAAGGACCTTCAACTAATACAGGTCATAAGATGTTCTTTTGAAACACTTATAGTGGCACATGATTAAGAATTCATGTCACTGGGTAATATTCTTAGTTATCCTGTTTGCTATTTATGAGCAAACTGCAAGAATCAGAAGTATCAGCATTAGATTGGGCCTTTTTTAAAGAAAAATGCCTCTTTAATATTGCAGTCCATGCGCGTTATAAAGATTTTGTTCACATTATGGGTTTTTTTCTGGAGATAACACTGTGCATGCAAACAGTTGAAAATAATTAAACAAGAATATCTGAAAGTGAATAAGCTTGGAGGAAACATACAACTTGTCGCAGCTGTTACCTTCGTAATTCTTGCTGCAATGTCGATTTGATTGATAAATCTTTTCTGTTCTCACGTGTCATGTTTGATAATCAATGCAGCTCCTCTTAGACGCACAAGCAGTTGGACTTTTGATGAGAAAATTTTAGTACAAGCGTTGTACAAGGTTCTGCATTCAGTGTCAAAGAAGTACCCAATTGTACTCTATATAAGAGATGTTGAGAAGCTTCTTCACAAGTCCCCAAAAATGTATCTCCTGTTTGAAAAACTACTAAACAAGCTTGAAGGGCCGGTGTTAGTCCTCGGATCAAGGATTGTAGATATGGACAGTGATGAGGAGTTGGACGACAGATTGACTGTTCTGTTCCCATATAATATAGAAATCAAGCCACCTGAAAATGAAAACCACCTTGTAAGTTGGAACTCCCAAATAGAAGAAGACATGAAGATGATTCAGTTTCAAGATAACCGAAATCATATTATGGAAGTCCTTGCAGAAAATGATCTTGAATGTGATGATTTAGGCTCGATTTGCCTATCTGATACTATGTGCCTTAGTAAGTACATAGAGGAGATTGTGGTGTCTGCTGTTTCATATCACTTGATGAATAACAAAGATCCAAATTACCGAAATGGGAAATTAGTTCTATCCACAAAGAGGTTAGCAGATTAATATAGTTCTCTGTAGATCTTTTATTTCTTGATTTATGACTCTTTCATGGCACAGCTTGTCCCATGCATTGGAAATTTTTCAAGGCAACAAGATGAGCGGTAAGGACAGCATGAAATTGGAAGTGAATGATGGCACCTTAAAGGTTTGTTCAATTTATGTTCCTCATTGTTGATTGTAATTTATTCTAATTAATCAAGATATACACTACTAGGTACACTTAAATTTATGAAAAGTATTATCATTTACTCTTTATACTACATATATACACTACTAAATAGGTTTGGTTATCTGGTTTCCCTATGCGTCGAAGAAGGCTACTAGATTCTCAATGACGTTAGAACAAATTTTGCTAAGTAACTCATATGGAAAGATGACCAATGGTTACAAGTAAACAGTGACATTCAGATTGATACTGAGAAAGTGAGAATAATGCAACCTATGTTTGGATTGATATGGCACAGATGATTTAAAATATTTTACCATTTAAAACTTAGGAAATTAGCGAAGTTTGAGTCCTATTGGCTCACCTTATCTTCTTAATATGAAGATGCTTAATTCCCCTAGGTATTCTTGTTTCACTTGTCTCGAAAACATTTAAAAATGTATGTATTCACATACCATACATCAAATATATAGGCTGCTGAAAAGGCAATTGCTCCAACCACTGCAAAATCAGAAACAAAACCTGCAACATCGCTGCCACCTGTTCGACCTCCGGCTGCTGCTGCTGCTGCTGCTGCTCTGGCTGGTGCCCCTGCTCCTAGAGTTGAGAATAAAACAGAACTGGAGAAGAAGGATAATCCACTTCCAGCTACAAAAGCACCGGTACCGTTATTCTGGTTGCATCTTTGAGAAAATAGTTTTCTATGCGTACCCTAGAGGAACTAATTTACCAATTGCCAGTCTGTAACTTGTAATTTCATTTTTTTTCTCTATTAGGAAGTGCCACCAGATAATGAGTTCGAAAAGCGTATTAGACCAGAAGTGATACCTGCTAATGAAATTGGAGTTTCATTTGATGATATTGGTGCCCTGGATGATATCAAAGAATCCCTTCATGAGCTTGTCATGCTGCCTCTTAGACGACCTGACCTCTTCAAAGGCGGTCTTCTTAAGCCCTGCAGAGGTATATTACTTTTTGGTCCTCCAGGAACCGGCAAGACTATGCTTGCCAAGGCTATAGCAAATGAAGCTCAAGCAAGTTTTATAAATGTCTCTATGTCGACTATCACATCAAAGTGGTTTGGTGAAGATGAAAAGAATGTTCGAGCATTGTTCACGTTAGCTGCTAAAGTAGCACCAACCATCATTTTCGTCGATGAAGTTGATAGCATGCTTGGGCAGCGGAACAGAGCTGGAGAGCACGAGGCTATGAGGAAGATCAAGAATGAATTTATGACACACTGGGATGGCCTGTTGTCAAGACCAGATCAGAGAATTCTTGTTCTTGCTGCGACCAACCGGCCTTTTGATCTTGATGAGGCTATCATCCGTAGGTTCGAGCGAAGGTTTGTATATTTTACTCAAGATGCTAGTAACATTTATGCATCCCTCAGTTTGTTCCCTGAGCTGTGTTCTCTTTCTTTAACAGAATCATGGTAGGTCTGCCATCGACGGAAAGTCGGGAACTCATAATGCGGCGACTTCTGTCAAAGGAGAAAGTTGATGAAGGGCTGGACTATAAGGAGCTAGCAACCATGACAGAAGGATATAGTGGAAGTGATCTCAAGGTCAGTAGCATGAAACATGAATGCACACACATGCCCCCCTGGCCCCTGCACATCCAAAAAGAAAAACAAAGGCACCATGCTCAACTCCGATTTATTTTTCTGAGAATACGCAAGAGAGCTGTGTATCTTTGTATTAAGAACTAAAGTAGAGATCCATTCTGCTCAACCCTGAATTCTTCTTTAACAGAACCTGTGCACGACGTCAGCATATCGCCCTGTGAGGGAGCTAATCCAGAGGGAAAGAAAGAAGGAGCTGGTATTCAAACCAAACCACCAGCATCTTAAGAATTTAATTCATGATGAATTTTGTGAATGAATTCACTATGTAAGCTTTATCTTCAATGTCTTCAGGAGAAGCTGAAGCGTGAAAAAGGAGAAACTCAGTCGGATGTTCCAAAGAAGAAAGAAAAGGAGGAGGCCATCATTCTAAGGCCGCTGAACATGACGGATCTGAAGGAAGCAAAGAACCAGGTGAATCCATCATCGTATCAAGTGGAATTTGAAACGATGTGGAAGCAGATTAACACTTGTCAACTTGAAAAATAAACTAATGGCAGTTCAAAGTTGTTAATACTCTGTAAACTCTCAAATTCAGGTGGCTGCAAGTTTCGCTGCTGAAGGCGCCATAATGAGCGAGCTGAGGCAATGGAACGAGTTGTATGGTGAAGGAGGCTCCAGAAAGAAGCAGCAATTGACATACTTCCTCTGAGCAGTATGAACATCACACGGGAAAATGTATGGACATAATTTGAAAAGTAGAGTAGAGCACAAAACAGCCATGAGGAAATAGGCCGAACATGTATAAGAACATGAGAAACGAGGGAGTTTTAGGGGACAAGAAATCAGGCCGTAAAAGCCAGTTTCTGGTGTAGGACAAGGAAGAACAATTTTATCTCCACCTAAATTCCAGTTTGCCTGTGCTAGTTGTTGTATCACACACTAATAATGAATCTGCGGTGCAGTTTGCTCTTCTTTTCTCTCTCTTTGCCTGGTCCCATCATCCTTCTGTATAGGTATAAACTGGTAAGTTGTGGCTAACAGCGAAAGGTTTAGGTAGCAGGAGTATAATATAAGCAACTTCTTGTGTACGTGGATATTTAGTAGAGCTCAAACAAAACCTAGAGCTGAACTGAGCCCTAGAATCCTCTGTTTGTTTTACACAGGTACAGTACAGATGCGTTAGGTCTCTTTGCTCTCTCTGATTTTCTAAAGTTTACTCTATGGCTTGCTGTGCTGTGCCACCAAAGGCTACTAGCACGCATATATGCGACTTTAAGCAAACGGACACCATTAATACTTCAAGCATACCTTCAACAAAGAGTTCAAGTGACTTTCATGTTGCCATACTGTTCACTGTTCAAGTGACTTTAATGTTGCCAGCTGATGGTTTCAAGCATACCTTCACCTTGGCATGTTTCTGCCATTTTCATGTTGCTATACCATTCCCCAAATAGGAAAGAGCTTCTCAAGAAGCATATTTTCATGTTGCTATACCATTCCCCAAATAGGAAAAGAGCTTCTCAACAAACATGTTTCTGCTGCTTGACTGTGTAAGTTAAAATTGAGGAAACAGACTTCATCTGAAGCAAGCATGTTTCTCGACATGCTAACCAGTCTTTAAACCATCAAAACCACCGAACTGACTATGTGTTACCTAAGCACCGAAAAAGACCATAAATATCATCAAATTCCAAACTGCATTGATAAGTAGCAAAAACAGTGTCGCAGGTACAGTCTGCGCTCATCAAAATCAAACAGCACCACCGAAAATTTAATGCTGTGTCTGCATCACCAATGAAGGGCAAAGCTAGCAATTCGGCTACACCCATCAAAACCAAACAATTACGCAGCCATACACAACATAATGCATAGGTGGCAAATTGGTGCTCGTACCCATAAGCGCTGCCTCCTGAGAAACTCAGAACCGATTGCTAGCATTCCCTACTAAGAGCAACCTTGGATCACTTGCTTCTAGTGCTTCTTGTCTTTCGCGGGACCCCTTGGTACTTTGCTCAGAACCTTCTCATCAAACACGGCATACTGCTTCTTAATTTCAATCCACCCTTTCTCGCCATACGAGTCAATCTGATCCTCGTACTTCTCATACAGGACAGGTACTGTGTGCAGCACCACAAATACTATTTTGCAGAAGAGAAGATGATCCAGTGTCAGTCAATCAGATACATAGCAGAAGGGTTAAAAACAAGGTTCTCTCTAAGTTGCTTGGATCCCTTACCAATGTAAACCAAGGACAAGAAGTTGCAGCAGCTTCCAAGAACAGAAAGCAACCAAAACCCAACAATAACCTAAATTTTCCAATAGAGAAAAAATGAGATAAGTGTAGCTTGCTGTATGATCAATTGTTCATCATAGGCAATGACATAGTAGACATACCACTAGGAACTTCTTTATGTCCCGGCCAAGAGCAATCTGGCGGAGATTGGCAAAGGCCCTGTTGATCTCATAACGAGTGGATAGCGCAATGTTGACAACTAAATCTTCAGGAATGATCACCTCTGGGATCTTTGGGGGAGCCCTGAATTAATGGGCAGAATCTCACATCATGAAGTTAGTCTATGCCCACGTAACTAGCAAAGAACAAACTTGCATCTCTTACAAGTTTGAGCAATTTATGATACTGAGGTGAAATCTTACTTGTGGATAAACGATGAAGCGTTAGACCACAGAAAGAGAACACCCAGAGAGAATATGAGACCATGGCAAACGAAAGTAAGAAGATGGTAGCCAAGCAATTCAAATAGGATCCAGATGGCTGTGGCCCCACCAAGTACTCCAGCAGAGATGTTCCTGTTCCTCCACAGGAACACATCAGCAGCTGCAAAATAGAGAACAGTAATGAGTTCGGTAGGTACAACAATGACAGACGATCAGGTATTTAGGTCTCAAAATTCCCATTACACCAATCAAGTTTAAGACAGGAGAATATCAGCTGTAGACACAGACAGATGAGCAAATAGTGCGCTTGTTGTCATTTGTTTAGAATAAAGATGTATAATCAGGCACAACAACACAGCACAAGCATCACAATCTCTCTAAAGGAAGACCTTCCATTTCAGAGTAGACAAGGTAGTATCAAACAACTCCAGTGAAATGCCATTTGTTGAGATAAACATAAGGTAAAGGCTACCAGATGTTTCTATTGCAAACAAATTTAAGAACTTAATATTTTCAGAATCCTAATTCAAAGCAACCAAAAGGGCCCTTTAGCATTGATTGATCCCCATGTAAAAACATATAACCTCTGAAATGCGCTTGCAAACACAACAAAGCATACCTAAGCAGATAAGCAATTGGTTCCCACCATGTTAAACGAGAGACCACACGAATTCAACTGGTTGGCAATATTGTTCACAAGCAGTTATAATGCAATAGCAGTAGACACTGCAACAATACTGTATGCCACAGTACAGACAAGCTTAGCAGTGAAAAGTATTCACAACATACAGTGATACAGATCATATAAGTACGGACGTGCAACGACCTGCATTGATCAAATTTGAAGCAAGCATAGAGTAACCAAGCATGCTAGTCGCCTCCACTTGTCAAGGACAGTTAAGATCCCAATCTGCGGGACTGCGCTGGCCCATCTAAACGACCAATTCCTAAAACCTTAGCTAGCCACATTCCATCAAACCTTAGCAATCAGATCTACTAGTCCGCAACCCAAGCACCTCAGCCCACACAGATCCCCAGCGAGTCCAGATCCGATCTAGCGATTTCAAGCCAAAAGGCGAGCACTATTCAGAGCGTGAGAAACAGAGCCATACGTTTGCCTCCACCGAGGGCCTTGTGGATGGGCTGCTCGCGGCCGAAGAGGCGGAACACCTTGACCTTGGCCTCGGCGGCCGCCGTGGCGGCGGAGTCGGAGAAGGAGGGCTGCTTGACCTCGTCGGCGGGCGGCGCGGGCGGCGCCGAGGGGCGGGGCCGCTGGTCGTTGTCGGAGTCCGAGGACGAGGAGGAGTCGCCCTTGCCGCCGCCGACGTGGAGCTTGTCGGCGAGCTTCTCCATCAGTGACTCGTGCTTGGGGCTCGCGCCGCCTTCCTCGTGCGGCTGCGGCTGCTCCGCCATGCCGGAACGGAACGAGCGGGATTGAAATGGAAACCCTCGCGGTGATTGCTGCGGGGGACACGGGAAAGGCGGAGGCGGCGTGGAGGAGAAATGGGGGAGATCTGGTCTCCCTTCGTGCGCTGGGAATTTTATAGGCGCGCAAGGGGTTTAGGGCTGATGGGGAAATCGCGGACGTCAGATTTGGATTGGACGGTGGAAATGGATCGAGTGGGTTTGGTTCGGGCTGGACGACTGGACGGCGGAATGCTTTCGGTGCTCGATCGAATCAGGGAGACTGGGAGAGTAACGCTTGGTGTACACGGATTGGTTCGACTTTGGATGGAGGGAAAAACATATCAAACATTCAGGCCCCATGTGTCTCATTTTTGTGAACCATGCGTCGGGAGTTAGAAAGATATAATGGTTTCTGTGGCCGATAAGTCGACTGATGTTGTTTTATTATGAGAGAAAAATATTGTACCATGACTGATAAACAGTTGAAGCGAACATGGCGTATGTTTTATTTTCGTATATATCTACAAAATTCGGATTGACTTATAATTTAGCTAAGGACGTGTTTGGATCGCGACCAAACTAGCGCCGCAGGTCGCCGAGCTGGAAGTGCGGCACGCCACGGGAGCCAAACGCACACACCGCACTTTGTCGCAGGTTTGGCGCACGCCACAACTAGTGCAAAACCGTCGCCGCCACTCGCCAACTGTTGGGCGGCCATGTTCATCGAACTCACGGCGCGGCTTGAGATGTGGCGGCATCGGCTACGATGCCAGCCAAACACGCCCTAATTTTTTTTGTCTTGGTACCACCACTATTCGGGTGAAAGTGTTGCGCCATTGCGAGCACGTCTTAGTTAGCATTTTCCCGAAAATGTTGCAAGGAATAAAAAGGTGAGTAGCTTTGTCACTATATTTTGGATCCCTAACAAAATGATTCCCTGTATGTTAAATGGAACTATAACGAGTTACATGAGACGTAAAACCCTTTTTCAATTGGACAAAGGAACTCTATTAATTTTCTCATTGTACCATGTAAACATATGTATTCTTGCTTTTCTATAGGTTATGTATTGCCTTTTGATATTAGCCAGCCTTGTGCGAAACAACTGGCAAGTGACTTCATCCCATAACGCATACTGCAACAAACACTACTAGACAGGAAGGTGTGCTATCGCCGCGCCCTGTAGGACACGCATAAAAGGCGTAGGAAACACGGGAGCAGCAACAGGCAGCAGAAAACTCATTTTTTTAAGCAGTTGAATAGAGCGGGGACAGTGTTGGTGGCTGGAGGAAACGTGCTTTTGGAACGGCCGAACATGAGTGCGAACAGTGTTGTGCAGTATGTAAATAGTAGATGGAGGCGCTCAGAGTCATAGGCCTAGAGTTCCCGGACGGTTAAAGTGAGTAGTTATACATCTTACAAGTCAGAAAAAATCAAATCCATTCTAATCTAGTCTAAAAAAATGTTAAAGTCCCATGTCAAAGTACACAAGCAGTACCTTCTTTTATGAATTGTAATACCATGCATTTGATCGCCATATTAAACCATGAAGACTTCTTTTTTTAGCTGAGCATTATGTTTGCCGTGTTGCTTTAGAGCTTGGGAGAAATCATGAGCATCATTGCATTGCATCAAATCTTATACTCTCTTCGTCTCAAAAATTTTGCAATTCTAGAGTTTGAAAATTTTCCCATAAAACATGCACAATATAGGACGTGGGACTCGTCCATACAAATCCGCTGCACCTCATCTGTGCACGCAGACGCATTCTCGTCCACAAACCACATGCCACCGCAGCGTAAAAAAAATAAAAAAACAGCCACAACAGTGACTCATCTCGTCTCCTCCACTCGTTCTAGCAGGGATGAGCAGAGGACGGGGCTGATTTGTATAGAGGCAGGGGTAGTTTCATAATTTCACATCTAAGTATTGGTTTCCGTGCCCCCACTCTACATAGAATTGCAAAAAAATTAAAACGGAGGGAGTATTTGTCTTGAAAAAAAGTAAAATAACACGTGCTGGGGTGCACAAGGAATGGTGCGTGTAGCAGAAACGCGGAGGTGGTGTTAACGGTGGAAAGGGGGCGGAATCATCGTGGAGGGCACCCCAATCACACACACACACACCTGCACCACTCACCTTTCCTGCTGGACTGGGGCCCGCGTTCGGAATCTCTTCGCCGTTTGAATTAGCGAACGCCGAGACGATTCCCGGTGGGGCCCGCGGGGGTAAAAATCCGTATATCTCTGTACCCTATGTGATTTCTGCCATCGTCCCTTTTTTCCTTTTTCTTTTTCATGCCAATATAAATAGCACGCTGGATTTGTTTGGAACTTTGGATCAAGCAATCGCAGAAAAGGCGGGAAATATGAACAAACCGATGCCAATTTGCTGTGAATTCATTGTGATGCACTTGCTTTTTCTGGGACCAACTATTGTTTATTGGTAATTTGGGATTGTTATTTGGCAGCTTGATTGTGGTCACTATGTTTACATCTACGCATAAATTTTTTCCAGACTGCTCGCTCGTTGGTTTCAGTCAGGGCTTATCAGCCAGTCAACAGTACTTTTCTCTCACAATAAATCAGTACCGGCTGGACTTATCAGTCTAGAAACCAACCAGCGAACAGGCTATTTGTTTCGAAATTCCGATACAAGCTATCAACTACTCTTCTCGGTTACCAAAAGCTCTTACTAAAGTAGTTTTACTTTGTACTATTGTGGAGCGTAAATGTATTTTAGAATATAAACTACCCTCTCATGTACACTGACCCCTTCACAGAACGCAATGTTTATTGCGCGCGGGGTCGCGCTTCCTGACGAGCGAGCGACACTTCGGCAGACGGCCTGGTACGTGCCATGCGCCCTGGCCCACTGGAGAGGGAGCGTCCCTCCACGGATTGACCATGCCATGCGTCTACTTTCCTTTCCTTTTTCTTTCTTTTGCGGCAATTTATTCTTTTTTGTTTTTCAGTTTTTTGAGGTTTGAGTTTCATTATTTCAGTTTTCTTCATTGTTTCTTTTAGTTTCAGTTAAATGAGTTATGACTTTTTTTCAATGTTTTTATTTTTAGTTTTAAGTTTTTATTATTTTTTTAGTTTTATCTTTCAGTCAAGTTTTTTAATGTTCTAGTTTCAGTTTTCAGTCACCCTTAGTTTCGAATGTCTTTCGAAATTCTGCATATTAGTTGCACCCATAATGTATAGCGAGTTATGATTTTTTCAATGTTTTTATTTTTAGTTTTAAGCTTTTTAGTGTTTTTTAATTTCATTTTTCAGTCGAGTTTTTTAATGTTTTTTTAGTTTCGGTTTTCAGTCACCCTTTTAGGTTTGAATGCCTTCCGAAATACTGCATATTAGTTGTCTCACCTATAATATATATATAAGTTGTCATAAAAGGGTAGCCATTGCACACGTAAGTAGCCACAAAAGAAAAACACATATACATACAAGGTAGATTGGGTGGGGATTAGCAGGCGCAACAAGTAATAGGATTAGAGGTCGCAACAAGTATTAGGATTAGGGGTCGCAGGTTGGGTTTTATAATAACTTGCCCCTAGTCGACAACTTATTTTATGCTTATTTTAATAATTTGCCCCTCAAGTTGTATACAACTATAGTACTACATAGTAACAACTTTAGTATTATATGGTAGTAACTCTTTTTGATATTTTGCACCTGAGCTTGTGCATACTATGTAACAACTTTAATATATTTTTTGGAGTAGAAACTTTAGTATTAAATGGTTTTAACACCTTTTATAAATCTTCCAGCATGTATTATACATAAATTGTTACGAAAATAAAATTCTTCGAAATATATGCAAGTAAAGTCTAGTTTTGTTCGTTACATAAAATACACCGGTGTAGATGAAATTAAAGACAGATATACCATTCAAAAATTATAGCAATTCAAAAAAAATTGTTTTTTTTCTTTGCTTGCATGAGATGGGGAGGAGAGCCGTACCGATCCAGTACATGCATGCAGTGAGCCAGTGATGTCGGGAGAGGGGTCGCGCGGTACCTGTCTGCGCCACGCGTCGCGGCTTTACCGCGTCCTTCACAGAAAAGAATTGTGTTTTAGTTAGTGTCTAGCTATCTAGCAACCTTTAATAATTATTATGATACGATGTATTTTCATTAAAAGATGTTTGAGACCGTAAACCCTCTATTATTTTGAAAATCTATTCCATCCGTCCGCAAGGAAATGTAAATCACACTTCTCAGTAGTAAAAAAAAATCAGGAAAATTTCACTCCGTTTCAAAAATAAGATTTTAAATAGCCACCTCTGGACAATGGCCCGGTCTAAGAAATGGACGCCAAATTTCATCAAAACATATAAATATAAGGAAAAAGTCTATGTTACCTCCCTCAACTTTTAAAACCGTTCGTTTTACCTCCTGAACGGTTATAAGCGGTTTTCAAAAGCGGTTTTGTTTTTTTCTTTTTTTTATTTATTTTGGCTGAATTTTTTAAAAATCATAGAAAATCACAAAATGGAAAATCCAATTTTGTTAGACTCCACATGAGTATATCTACACAGTAAACATATAATATAGTATGCTTTAATACAAATTTTTTGTTGTAGCTTTAGATCTATGCTTTTATGTAATTAATTCATAGCTGCAGTTTCTATGGTTCAATTATAGTGAAATTTTTATGGTGAGCTAATTATTGTATGCTTGAATTGTATTAAAAAATTATATTGATTGGATCATGTATAACTACAGTTCAGGGAGAAAAAATAGACTTTCGCAAAAGTTAAGGAGATAACGTGAATTTTTTTCCTAAATATAATATAATGGGCCCGGCATTGCCACGTGAACCATCACCACCCTCGTTCAGCTCGTGAGCGGGAATATCGGCCGTCAGCCCCAGCGGATCTTCGGCCTTTTTCCATCATTTGCGGCCCGTTTCTCTAGACAGAAAGCCCACTTGAGCTCCTCCAAACATTTCAGTATTTGTTCATTTTCTCGTTTGTGAAAATAGCATCTCGTGTGTGCATTC